TGAGCCACCACACCCAGCCTAAGCAGGTATTGTTATACATGTTTAACAGATGAGAAAGCCAAGAATTCAAAATATGTTGAGGGCTGTTTTCACTACACTAACTCCAAGGCAACTAATAACTGCCATTTCCCTAATTAGGAATAGAGGAAAGTTGACAGCTAAAATTAATACCGTTTCCAATGTTTTCTACTGTGAGCCTGTGAGCCTATAAGAGCCTGAAAGCATTTTAAAGGATAAACCATTAATTCCAGTCTCTTAATTCCATATATGGAAAAACTGGGGCCCAGAGAGAATACATGGCTTGTCTCAAATTACAAGATTTTAGCAAAATTAGAACTCCTACTCCATACTCCTAGTTCATTGTGTTTACTAAAATGCATTTCCCAAATGTGATTCATGGATTCCACAGGATATTAGCAGACATTCCTCTGAGAAAGGTTAGATAAGCTAAGCCACCTCTGTGTTAAGCCAAATTAAGTAATGTTCTCTACTGCAGAACCTCCCAGCTTTCACTAGGCTAATGTGTCTTCTGAATCTCTAAGTGCTCTACATACTACATTCTCAATCTATCAGATCATGAAACCTTTTCAATCAAGCATTTGAAGTAGTCCTAGACTTTGAGCAGACTCTGAGGAAGACTGTGTTAGCCTTGGCTCTCCTCAAGGTTGTTCTGCTTGAATAACTAGGAGCAGTTTGTTATGCCTCTAGAGGTAAAGCACCAACTAAAAAAACTAAAGAGGAAGGGCCAGGTGTGGTATAATCCCAGCATTTTGGAAGGTCAAGGCAGGCAGATCACTTGAGGCCAGGAGTTCGAGGCCAGGAGTTCAAGGCCAGCCTGAGCAACATGGAGAGACCCTATCTCAAAGCAAAATGAAACCAGAAAAAAATTAGCTGGGGATTGTGGCACACGCCTGTAGTCCCAGTCACTCAGGAGACTAAGGCAGGAGGATCCCTTGAGCCCAAGAGGTTGAGGTTGCAATGAACTATGATCACACCACTGCAATCCAGCGTTAGCACCATAAAGCATCTAAAAGAGCCAGTTTGTGGTCATGAAAATATTGCCTTATTAATGAAAATATTGCCTCATTATTTTACCCTGTCCCTTAATAACCATGCCTCAGGCTCATTCCCACCAGGAGAAGAGTCTTTTTTTTTTTTTTTTTCAGATGGAGTCTTGCTCTGTTGCCAGGCTGGATTGCAGTGGTATGATCGCGACTCACTGCAACCTCTGCTTCCCAGGTTCAAGCGATTCTCCTGCCTCAGCGTCCTGAGCAGCTGGAACTATAGGCACATGCCACCATGCCCAGCTAAAGTTTTTTTTTTTTTTTGTAGTTGAGACGGGGTTTCACCATGTTGGCCAGGATGGTCTTGATCTCTTGACCTCGTGATCCACCCACCTCGGCCTCCCAAAGTACTGGGATTACAGGTGTGAGCCACCACGCCCGGCCGGAATAGTCATTTTGATGCTCTTGTTGCTGGATTGCTACTTTGTAGTGAACATTCCCCTGTGTCAGTCACTGGTTAAATACAAAATGGATTATCTCATTTAATACTTAAAACAACCCTATGAGGTAAGGACTCTTTTTATCCCCACCTCAAAGTTTAAAATCTGAGACTCAGGTTAAGTCATGTGTCCAAAGTCACACAGTAAGTTGGAGCCATATGTTGTGGCCCACACCTGTAGTCCCAGCTACATGGGAGGCTGAGGCAGGAGGATAGCTTGAGGCCAGGGGTTCCAGCTTCAGTGAGCTATGATGGTGACACTGTTCTCCAGCCTGAGTGATAGAGCAAGACCTTGTTTCTAATTAATTAATTAATGTCATAGAGTAAGTAATGGAACTAGGTTTTTAATCTGAAGCTGACCAATGCCAAATTGTTATATGATGGTGAGGTGATGTTACCACTGTAAATTATTTTCTTTTCCCTTTTAGCAAAGAGCCTATTCCATTTATCAGAGAGAGAGAGAGATTTATTTTTATTTTAAAGGATTGGGTGACATGATCGTAGGGGCTAGCAAGTCTGAAATCTGTAGGCAAGTTGGAAAATCCAACAGGAATTGATGTGGCTGTCTTGAGTTCTAAGGCAGTTTGGTGACAGAATTCCTTGCTCTTTTCATTCGGCACCTCGGTCTTCCCTTAAGGCCTTCAAATGATCGGATGAGGCCTACCCGCATTATGGTGGGTAATCTTCTTTACTTAAATTCCACTGATTTCAGTATTGATCATAACTGTGAAGGTATTTTCAACCTTCACAGCAATATCTAGACTGGTGTTTGACAAAACAACTGGGTACTGTAGCCTAGCCAAGTGGACACATAAAATTAACCATCACACTATTGATAAATAAAAAATTATAAGAGGTCATTGTTTTGGACTAAGCTCTTGAACTAGGCTCGAACAACCCAGAATAAAAATCAAAATGGAGCCACCCAGGCAAACCTAAACTAAGTTGTTATTTGACCTGAGAAATCAGGAGAGAGAGAGAGAGAGCCAATTTCCCAAACAGGCCACTGCAGATCTTCAATCAGCATGATAAGGAAGTTCTCTCTGCTTTAATTCTAACACACACACACACACACACACACACACACACGTAGCCTGAAGTAACCTGATATTAACTAACCAGTTATTTTCTGTTGTTCTGTCTGGAAGTAACTAATACACACCTTGTTCTTTGCTTCTGCTTTCTTCAGGCCTTCTCTGCCTATAAAGCCAAATTCTTCTGGTCAGCTCATCAGAACATTTATTTCACAAAATGAAGAATTGCCTGATTCTGGAATCACAAACAAGGCCAATTGAGATCTTTACATTTGTTTCAATTTTGTTTTTTGACACGATATAATACACAAAGTCATAGAAATGTAGGTATGTTAGTTTCTATAGTCCAATTTCCTTTTTTTCTTAATTTTTTTCTTTTGAAAAGGAGTCTCACTCTGTCGCCTAGGCTGGAGTGCAGTGGCAAGATCTTGGCTCACTGCAACCTCCACCTCCCAAGTTCAAGTGATTCTCCTGCCTCAGCCTCCCAAGTAGCTAAGATTACAGGCACGTACCACCATGCCCAGCTAACTTTTGCATTTTTAGTAGAGACAGGGCTTCACCATGTTGGCCAGGCTGGTCTCGAATTCCTGACCTCAGGCGATCCACCTGCCTCGACCACCCAAAGTGTTGGGATTACAGGCGTGAGCCACCGTGCCCGGCCTCCTTATTTTTTTTAATGAGTAAACAGAAGAAAAAGAAGTACCCAGGTTATACATGTGTCCAAAGGAGTACGTGCCCATCCAAATTCCCAGAACCTTCCGTAAATTGCTTGCCACCTGATAATAAAATTAAATGGAAAAATTAAATCCTTCCAAAACACTATGTATTCCTATTTTGAAGAATTGATTAGAGAAATTCAGCAAGCGGTCACATCATTTTACTACTTCTCTCCAGACTAATGCTCCTCAACACCTGGATGTTGGGACTACCTTCAGAGTAGATGGGGAGTCTGCAAAGAGCTGACACAGCTCTCCCAGAAAACTGACTTTTCTCTCAGGTCCTCTCCTGCCCCTCCTTCTCCTGCCAGCCTCTCCAGTTTCACCTTTCACTTCTCAGGTTTCTTTGGCTCCAGCTACCTTGTTTCTTTCCATTCCTCCTCTTTTGCCTCTGGGCTTACAAACAAGCTCCTCCCTTCCCTGTCTGCAACATTCTGGCACTACCATCCCCAGCCTCCACCCACCGTTTGTCTAGCTATTGGTGATTCATTCTTCAAGTCTGGTCTCTCAGGTCTCTTCCTCAGGAAGTGCTTCCCATGTCCACTCAACGAGGTTGGAGGTCCTTCACAGGTGTGCCTGTGGCCTGCTGTACGCCTGCGATTTCTATCTGCTTATTTATCCACATTCCCAACTAGTGTCTTAAGAGCAGAGACACTGGCCTGTTCCGTGGTATCGCCAGCATTAGAGTCTGTCCCATAATAAACATTCAGATATGAGGGGGGCAGGAAAGGAAGGAAGAAAAGAAAGAATAAAGGAGAAAGGGACTTCCACAGGCCCTTTTTGGCACTGTGTGGCTTAGATCTGACCATTGGAAGACCATCTGTGAAGGCATTTGCCCAGAGAATTGTAGAGTGTAGAGTAACTTTGGTTTTTTCAGATGCCAGGGAATCTCTACCTAATGACCTGGCAACCTTAGAATTTGCTTTAACAGCTTGAAGAATGTTGACAACGCCAAGGTGTTAGAGGTAGAAGGTAGCAGATGGAGCATCAGGAATGGAGAGGGACCAAAAAGAGGGGCCTTCGTGGGTCAGTGAGACTGCGTGTGTTTGGGAGGTGAAGAAGCATGCAAGATTGGGAAGATGGGAGAAGCTGGTTTCTGGTGCAAGACAATATCATCAACTCGATTCCATATTGAATTTGAGGTGTTACGAAAACACCCAAAATTACAGCTGGAAATATAAAGCAAAGCCAAGAAAACTGTAGCCCTTCACAAATTTGTCATTTTTATGTCAGTTACTGTTATGAAAAAAGTGTCAAGACTTTTGGTAGAGCAGAAATACCCCTTAAACAAAATTGCCCACATGGGGTATTTTAAGGGTCAACAAAAAGATTTTCACTGGGCACGGTGGCTCATGCCTATAATCCCAGAACTTTGGGAGGCTGAGGTGGGCGGATCACCTGAGGTCGGGAGTTCGAGACCAGCCTGGCCAACATGGTGAAACCTCATCTCTACTACAAAGTACAAAAATTAGCCGGGCATGGTGGCGGGCACCTGTAATCCCAGCTACTCAGGAGGCTGAGGCAGGAGAATTGCTTGAACCCGAGGGGTGGAGGTTGCAGTGAGCCGAGATGGCACCACTACACTTCAGCCTGGGTGACAAGAGCAAGACTCAGCCGGGCGTGGTGGTGGGCGCCTGTAGTCCCAGCTACTCTGGAGGCTGAGGCAAGAGAATGGCGTGAACTCAGGAGGCAGAGCTTGCAGTGAGCCAAGATAGCGCCACTGTACTCCAGCCTGGGCAACAGAGCGAGACTCCATCCTCCCTCCGAAAAAAAGAAAAAAAAGATTTATTTTTTCCTTTTACCGCCCATTATCATGTCAAGGTGGTATTTGTTATATATCATCAAATATACGTTGTATGCACATGTATCTCTAGAAGGAAAAATAAATGGTAGCAGTGGTTACCTCTGAAAAGGGGGGCTTGGAAGCTTGGAGGTCAGAGGTGGGAGGGAGACCTAATTCCTGCCATTTATCCTTTGGTACCCACTGAAATCTTTATCATGTACATAGATTTTTTTAATCTACAAAAGGAAAATTTCCTTTTAGTTTTAAAAGTTAAAATTGTCAACAGAGAGTTAATTAAATATAGTACATCCATTAAGTGGAATAATGTACAGTCATTACAATGGAAGTGATAGCTCTCGATGTGCTGATACAAAAGCGGTCCGTGATAATTCATTTGTTAAGTTAAAAACAAAATTCAAATTGTAAATGGTAAAAGTATTAGTATATGCATAGGGGCAATTGTATTTAAATATTTATTTATTAGTATATGCATATGGGAAAATGCCAAAATATACACTAAACTGTTAGCATTGATTACCTCTGCAAGACGGAATTAGAAGAGACTTTTGCTTTCTAAGATGTACATTTTGACATTGTTCAAACTTTTATGAGGAATATATTACTCTACAATCAGAAAAATGATAACCTAAAACAATTCTATGATATTGCAAATAGTCCAGGAACAGAGAGAAGGTCCTTATCTTCAGCAGCTGGGGCAAATGTCAAATCCCCTAGATAAAAACCAGGTATGCACTTGGAGTTTGTGCATTAGGGCAAAAAGAAGTGGTATAATATGGTCTTGGCTCACAACAGCACCTCAGTAATGTTTAATAATGGAAACTGGGACTATAGAATAGATACCACTTTTTCCCCAGTGCATGACAATTTAGGTATTTATCACCAGAATCTTAAAAAAAAATAAGGTTTCTGCCCTTACGGCCACTGCAATCTAAGGTAATTTAATATCCCTGCTTTCCCCTCTTTACTGCTTCTCAACAATCCTTTTTTTTTTTTTTCCTTTCCCTTCACCCTCCTCGTCTTCCCAGCCCTTTTTAAAATTGCCACAAGAGGGCAGCAGCCTCACGCAGAAGAAGGGCACTAGGCCATTGGCAGCAAAAGCAAAAGGATGCCATTAAAAATAGGTGATCAAACTTTAGAGATGTCAGCATCTTGCTCTGAATATGTGTGCAGCCACGTTTAATATTGTTAGAAACCATAAACAATGAATGGACAAGAAAGTCATGCTGCTGTGCGGAGCTCATGTGTTTCCCTCTCTTCCAGATGCTGGCCAACAAGAGCTGAAATCGAGAACAGCCTAGAACCTAAGACTATTCTAATATAAAAATTTTGCACCAGGATGGAAGGGGACTCTTACCACAATGCAACCACCGTCAATGGCACCCCAGTAAATCACCAGCCTTTGGAACGCCACAGATTGTGGGAAGTCATCAGCATTGCAGCGGTGACTGCTGTGGTAAGCCTGATCACTATTGTGGGCAATGTCTTGGTCATGATCTCCTTCAAAGTCAACAGCCAGCTCAAGACAGTTAACAACTATTACCTGCTCAGCTTAGCCTGTGCAGATCTCATCATTGGGATCTTCTCCATGAACCTCTACACCACCTACATCCTCATGGGACGCTGGGCTCTTGGGAGTCTGGCTTGTGACCTTTGGCTTGCACTGGACTACGTGGCCAGCAACGCTTCTGTCATGAACCTTCTGGTGATCAGTTTTGACCGTTACTTTTCCATCACAAGACCCTTGACGTATCGGGCCAAGCGTACTCCCAAAAGGGCTGGCGTCATGATTGGCTTGGCCTGGCTGATCTCCTTCATCCTCTGGGCCCCAGCAATCCTCTGCTGGCAGTACTTGGTTGGGAAGCGGACAGTTCCACTGGATGAGTGCCAGATCCAGTTTCTCTCAGAGCCCACCATCACTTTTGGCACTGCCATTGCTGCTTTCTACATCCCTGTTTCTGTCATGACCATCCTCTACTGTCGAATCTACCGGGAAACAGAGAAGCGAACCAAGGACCTGGCTGACCTCCAGGGTTCTGACTCTGTGACTGAAGCTGAGAAGAGAAAGCCAGCTCATAGGGCTCTGTTCAGATCTTGCTTGCGCTGTCCTCGACCCACCCTGGCCCAGAGGGAAAGGAACCAGACCTCCTGGTCATCCTCCCGCAGGAGCGCCTCCACCAGTGGGAAGCCATCCCAAGCCACTGACCCAAGCACCAACCAGGCCAAAGCTGAGCAGCTCACCACCTGTAGCAGTTACCCTTCCTCAGAGGATGAGGACAAGCCCACCACTGACCCTGTCCTCCAAGTGGTCTACAAGAGTCGGGGTAAGGAAAGCCCAGGGGAAGAATTCAGTGCTGAAGACGCTGAGGAAACTTTTGTGAAAGCTCAAACTGAAAAACATGACTCTGACACCCCAAACTACTTTCTGTCTCCAGCAGCTGCTCATAGACCCAAGAGTCAGAAATGTGTGGCCTATAAGTTCCGATTGGTGGTAAAAGCTGACGGGACCCAGGAGAACAATAACGGCTGTCACAAGGTGAAAATCATGCCCTGCTCCTTCCCAGTGGCCAAGGAGCCTTCAACGAAAGGCCTCAGTCCCAACCCCAGCCATCAAATGACCAAACGAAAGAGAATGGTCCTCGTCAAAGAGAGGAAAGCAGCCCAGACACTGAGTGCCATTCTCCTGGCCTTCATCATCACATGGACCCCGTATAACATCATGGTCCTGGTTTCTACCTTCTGTGACAAGTGTGTCCCAGTCACCCTGTGGCACTTGGGCTACTGGTTGTGCTATGTCAATAGCACTGTCAACCCCATCTGCTATGCCCTCTGCAACAGAACCTTCAGGAAGACCTTTAAGATGCTGCTTCTCTGCCGATGGAAAAAGAAAAAAGTGGAAGAGAAGTTGTACTGGCAGGGGAACAGCAAGCTACCCTGAAAAGTTAACGACTCCTCTCAAAAGAACAGTGACCACAGTCAACATCCTCTGAGGAAGAGCAAGCTGGTTCTGGTTTGTATATTTTCAAAAAGAAGACATCTCATTTTGAGTCCTTGAAGATGTTTGTAAAGGCTCAAGGTCTGTTGCCAAATGGAAGGGGTCACAGCTGCAACAATTGCTGTCGTATTAAATGACTCTTGCCTATGACCAAGGCCATTTGATGCCACTGGAGTTTGCCAATGAAGTAAAGAGATAGGCTCATGGCCCTTCACAGGAGGAAGCACACTGGGTAACAGTGAACAGTGACTCAGGGAACTTTTGTCCCTTCTGTAGGAAATAGCAGAGACCAGGTGGAAACCTTTTCCTGTGGAAACCTGTCCCTGTGGAAACCTGTCATAGAATTTTGTGCAATATGTATGTGTCTATGAAGCTGTCTTGTGCCAGTGAGAACCGGGAGAATGTACATCAGTGTCACTTGTTAACAAGACTGGCTTCTAAGAATATGTATCGTCATAAACTGATCACTATCTATAATGCAGCTATTATGTGGTCTATACTGTGGTTTGTTTTCCTGTCCCTACATCTGAGTGAAGGTCTTGCTCTTCCCTTTCATATCCAATGCCAATTCCTCGTACTCACTGAACCCATGCTGATCTCCAGGGAACCATCCTTCCTCTCAGAATCCAGCGTCTGGAAGGACTGAAACCTGGTCATACCCAGTCCTTTAAAGGGGCCTCTATTCTGCTAATAAAGTCTCCATAGTCAGTTATTCTAGTTTTTGCCAGTGGAAATTTTTTCTTTTATCTAAAAAAAAATATTTTGCATTCTATTTTGTGCCCATTTGAAACCATTGATTTATGCTCTGTTCTTAGGAAGACTAATTGTGTAAGAGCCCTTCACTGGCTGAAGATTTTCTCCAGGCTATTGAATTAAGGTTCTTATATTGTTTTCAGAGATCTTGCTTTCTAATCTCTTCACAGGGCAAATCTGAGCAAAATGTGGAAAACAAATTTGCTTTTGAACTTCTTCCAGAGCCCTTTTGCAGCCTCCAGTTTCCCTTGTTCAGATCCCCAATTCACACCAAGACACAAGCAGGTCAACTGGCTGCCTCCAAGCAGGGGGTTGTGGGGTGGGGTGGGGGTGGAAAGACTTTCTTTTTTGATAGGTCCTTCAAATCAGGGCCTAAAAATGACTTCTTCATTCCTCTCCAAATTCAGTCAAAAATGAGAAGGCCAGAAAAGCACGCTTGAGGGTGCGACGAAGCTGAAAAAGATCTGAAAGCTTCATTTTTAAAAATAAAGTGTAGGTCATAGTAATGCATAAAAATAAAACAGTTAACATGCATGACAGCATGAGGATTATTAAAAACCACATTTAATTGAAATCTCTGAGTGTGTATCAACAAACTGAATCAAAGGACCTTTGTGGACAAAAGTCCACAAAGAAGCAGTAGTGTGGTGCACAACAAGGATTTTAAAGATGAAGCACTCCTGTCAGACATTATTTAACTTGTTGGTTACATCTGCAGCTGGATTTAAAAATCGCCAGACTTCATGCGTCTTAGTGTAGGCCAGGTCCTTTTCAGTGTCATTTGCTACGAGGATGGAAAAATAGCTGGTTTAGTTGTCCTGGGAATTAGAAATGTACCTGAGTATGGGAGAGCTTCAGCCTACGACTGAAGAGGATAATCAGTCTCTCACAGGATGTCCCAGGGAGGCTTCAGGGTAGTAGAATCTCGGGCAGGATGGGACTGGTCCCCTATAAAGATTACGTTGACATGAAACATCTTGTAAGCAGTGCATCTGCTGAGACTTTGTAAAGGGCAGGTTGACACCTGCCAGGAATTGGGTGGGAATAGTAATTGGCTCAGTTCTCCAGCACAGAGGCTTTCGGGCCTCTGTGATGCCAACTGGGTGTGACTTCATGAGCAAACCTGCTCTACCAGCTCCAGATAAACAGTTGAGTCTTCGTTTAAGGCTTTGATTCCTGACAAAGATGAAAATCCCTTCATGAGAATAGGCTCTTAAGCCCATGTTGGGCATTCACCATTCGCAGTTGAGAGTGAAACAAGCTAATTTAAACAAAAGAACACAAATCGGGAAGGGATGCCACTGAGGGTACTCTTCACACGCTCTGCACTTGCTTAGGACTTGGCCCTTTTTGTTCATCTTTTGTGAAATTGATTAAGAAGTGTATTGCTGGGTGTGGTGGTTCACACCTGTAATCCCAGCCCTTTGGGAGGCTGAGGCAAGAGGACTGCTTCAGCCTAGGGGCTCAAGACCAGCCTGGCAACATAGGGAGACCCCGTCTCTATGAAAAAATTTTTTAAATACCTGGGCATTAGCAGGGCATGGTAGTATGTGCCTGTAGACCCAGCTACTTCAGAGACTGAAGCAGGAGGATTGCAGGAGTTAGAGGTTGCAGTGAGCTACGATCACACCACTGCACTCCAGCTTGGGTGACAGAGCAAGACCCTGCCTTAAAAAAAAAAAAAAAAGAGAGAGAGAGAGGTTGATGCTTCTTTCTTTATCATTGGCTTTGGAAAGCAGCCAGTTTTGCAGACTACCAATGCCTCTTGACATAGACAAAAAATATCCCAAACTACTAGGGACATCTAGACTTCTATAGAATAGGGGCTTTAGTGGGGTCCTCAGAATGAACAGACCCAATTGTAAACTACAGGGACCTGGTGGGTGGGTGGGAGGTGCATGGCCTGACTTGAGATCTTAGGCCTTCTATGCCCCCAGTCTTCAGTCTTTGTCTATAGTAAACTGTGTATGACTTTGGCTAGTTACCTACTGGATGCTGTTACTTTGCTATCATTGTAACTTGTTTCCCCGCAACTCTGAATTTGATGGCTTGTCAGGGAATCTGTTTTCCATTCAATTTTTGGTTAAACAAAGCATTTTGTCAATATTCTCAGCCTTTGCTTTGTTCCTTTGGTGAATGTCCTCTGAAGACAATACTGATGCCAGCTTTTTGTAATTGCGAAATCTGTACCCCAACCTCTGGATTAGAATCTCCAGTTGTCTACTGTAAATACTGGAATTACAGCAAAGGATATGGGGACTGGGCTGCTTTTCTGTATTGTACTAGCACTATTCTAGATATTAAAGACATTTAACCACTATGTGCAGAGCATTTAACGAAGAAAATTGTTTCAGAGTAACTCATTAGATCCATCTATATTGGGGTCCCACACACCTTCGCATGGCCTGGCCTTTCAAGAAAGTTGGGATTGATACACAGTATGGATACACGTCCTTCTTGCTACCTTTTGTGATTCCTCCTTTCCTCTAAGTTACCAATGACCAAACTAACATTAAATAATGATAACAAGAGATCTGTGAGTAAAATGCTTTCCCTTCCCTCTGGGACAAGGGAGGTGGGGCAGACCTCAAACCACAGTCCTTTACCGAGTGGAGACTGCACCAAAAGGGGCAGCAGCATTTCCTCTTCAACTGCGTAAAGAGTTGGTGCCCCAGTCGCTTCATTCCCATTGTAAGTGATACTAATTTCCATCTTCCTCATATCGTTTTACTGGTAAAGTTCAAGATAATGTAAACTCTTGCCCAATAAGGACCCCAGATAGAGAGTGTGAGGAAGAAGTGAAGTAAATTTAATGGTCAAAGAAGAAGCTAGAAGCAATTAAAAACAAAACTTTTTTTGAAATCATTTAAAATGTACAGAAAACTTGCGAGAGTAATAAGAAGACTCCTAATGTCCTTCACCCACATTCCTCATTTAACATTTTGCCACATCTGTGCCTGCTCTCTCTGTATGTGTGTGTGTGCGCACACATTTTTTCTCAACCATTTGAGAGTAAGTTGCAGACATCTTGCCAGTTTACCACTAAATACTTCTTGAGTGTGTATTCCTTTTTTCATTCTTTTTTTTTTTTTTTTTTTTCAAGACAGGGTCTCACTCTGTCACCCAGGCTGGAGTGGCAGCTTCGACCTCCCAGACTCAAGTGATCCCACCTCAGCAGCTGGGATTACAGACGCACGCCACCATGCCTAGCTAATTTTTTTTCTACTTTTTGTAGAGACAGGGTTTCATCATGATGCTCAATCTAGTCTTGATCTCCTGGGCTCAGGCAATCCCCCTGTTCGGCCTCGCAGAGTGCTGGGATTGCAGGCATGAACCACCGCATCTGACCTTAGAGTGTGTATTTCTTAAGAAGAAGATGATTTTACATAACCTCAATACAAATATAAATATCAGGAAATTTGACATTGTTACAATGTTATTATGTAATCTACAGTCCACACTCAAATTTTCCTAGTTTTTCTATTTGGAAAACTAGTAAATGTTCATTATAAAAATTTATTTTCCAGCTCAATATCTAATCCAGGATCACACATTGCATTTAGTTGTCATGTCATGTTTAGACTTATTTAATCTGTCTACAACTTTTCTTTCATGATATAATCATTTTTAAAGAGCACCTACAGTCCAATTTTTAAAAATAATTTCAGCTGGGCGCGATGGCTCACTCCTGTAATCCCAACACTTTGGGAGGCCAAGGAGGGTGAATCATGAGGTCAGGAGCTTGAGACCAGCCTGGCCAACATGGTGAAACCCCGTCTCTACTAAAAATACAAAAATTAGCCGGCCATGGTGGTGTATGCCTGTAATTCCAGCTGCTTGGGAGGCTGAGGCAGGAAAATTGCTTGAACCTGGGAGGCGGAGGTTGCAGTGAGCTGAGATCATGCCACTGCACTCCAGCCTGGGCAACAGAGCAAGACTTCATCTCGAAAAATAAGTAAATAAAAATAATTTCATAAGTTTGAGGCTATCTGATATTTCCTCATTAGATTTAGTTTAATTGTTTTTGGGGGGCCAAGAGTATCACAATGCGTTATTATGTTCTCAATGCATCACATCAGGAGGCATATGATGTTCTGTCTCATTACTGGTGATGTTAATATTGATCAATGTTTTAGGTACACTAACCTTTTAAGTAAAGTTCCAAGATTTGTTTATAATTTTTTAATCTTCAGATTGAAGAGATATACTCAAATTACTATGCTCAATAATTGCTTTTGTTAATTTTTTTCATTCAGTGTGGTTATATTTTTCATTTGAAATCAATTGGGTTTGCTCCTTACTTTTATATTGAATTTTAGAGTTTTCTCCCATAACTGTTTATTTAATTTCATTTTCTTGAATAAGTAAAATATTAATATTGTTGAAAATCAAAATGATATGAGAAGATATACTCAGAGACGTGTCACTCTATCCTTTATCCCTTCCATCCCATTCCCACGTGTGTTAGTCTGTTCTTATGCTGCTATGAAGAAATACCCAAGACTGGGTAATTTATAAAGAAAAGAGTTTTCATTGACTCACACAGTTCTGCATGGCTGGGGAGGCCTCAGAAAACTTACAATCATGGCCCAAGTCACCTCTTCATAGGGCAGCAGGAAAGAAAATGAGTGCCAGCAGGGAAGATGCCAGATGCTTATAAAACCATCAGATCTCGTGAGAACTTACTCACTATCACGAGAACAGCATGGGGGAAAAGCGCCCCCAGGATTCAATTACCTCCCACCAGGTCCCTCCCACAAGACATGGGGATTATGGAATTACAATTCAAGATGAGATTTGGATGGGGACACAAAGTCAAATCACCCTGTCCTGTAGATAACAAATTTTCTTCAGTCTCCGGTTTATCCCTTCTTTGTTTCTTTTTTTTTTTTTAATCGAACTCTTTTAGCCATGTTTGTATCCATATTTTAAAATATCCATGTAGTTTTATTTTAATGTTTTTAGTTTAACAAAATATCTACTGACTTTCTACCAAGAAAAATAAAGGTTTGATTCTTACATAGTGATGACTACTTCCCAAACAGCCACTCCTCTGGCCCTCAGTTTACAAAGCTATGCATAAATGGGTACCTCTATGAAGTGATCACTTGGATACAGGGTGCTAGAGCTCTCCATCGAGCTAAGGATGTGGGTCCTACAAAAGAAGACACAGTCTAAGTCTTGGAGCATCTACTAATACTGAGAGCTATGAATACACCAAGTAGAACAAGTTGAACAACTCTGGAGACACTAATAACAGGCAAAAGACTGACACTGTTAAATATTCACATTATACTCAAAGAGGGCACAGACAGTATTATTCTGCAATAAATGTCACTGTCCCCTATCTCCCCTGATGAATTACTGTGCATGAGGTGGGACAGACTGGAGTTAAAACCTTAAATTTATCTGTGATCTGTGATTAGGCAGAGAAAGCCAAGGCCTAACTCTGCTCACTGGGCTTGACTACCACCCTGTGTTAGTGTGCTTCGTGTCAATGCATCTGTCCAAAAAGTCCTGACTTTTAATTTCATATGGCTCTTGAACAAACCTCATCCCACCCACCAGATGCCTCCAATGACGCCTTCATGCTCCTGCTAAGAATAGTTCTCCAAAGGGTGTTACTTTCCCAGTCCCTGGCAATGATTTTCTGACAAGGGTTATCTTGCATGAATGGATCTTTAGTGGTGTCCTAGTAAAGGAATGGGCACCCTTACCTTCAACAAAGAATGGCTCGTACTCAACTCACTTACCCCAATATTACTAGTTGGTGCTTAATTTTAATTTTATTTTGAGACAGGGTCTCGCTCTGTCACCCAGGCTGGAGTGCAATGGCATGGTAGCCTCCATCTTCCAGGCTCGAGTGATCCTTCCGCCTCAGCCTCCCAAGTAGCTGGGACTACAGGTGCATGCCACCATATCAAGCAAAAGTTTTTTGTTTGTTTGTTTTGTTTTGTTTTGTTTTTTAGTAGAGATGTGGTCTCTCTATGTTGCCCAGGATGGTCTCAAACTCCTGAGCTCAAGTGATCCTCCTGCCTCAGCCTCCCAAAGTGCTGGGATTACAGGTGTGAGGCACCGTGTCCAGTCAGGTGCTTATTTTTAGTAGTTCCATGTGTATCCAAACACGGGTTTGTAGTCCAGCCACTTTCAATCAAAGTCCATAAAGCTATTGATCACGATGTACTAACTACAGCTCAATCCCCCTAGTATACCATACAGTGCACTGCAGTGGAAAACACCGGGCTGGAAGACAGCAAAGAAGAAAAAGTGATACAAATTTAAACTGGTATTTGGAGGACTACTCTTTCTCCCTAAGAAGCTAGACTTCCATGAATAAAAAATCCTTTGACAGGTCCTTTCATACCCAAAAGACAGGGCTTATCAATAAGAGTCAGAAACAAAATGAAGTCTTTAACTCAGAAAACTAGACTAGGTTATCTTTTATATTCACTATATGTTATAATCTAGTCATTAATATATTAATACATATTTTCTGGCCAGGCACAGAGGCTCACGCCTGTAATTCCAGCACTTTGGGAGGCTAAGGCAGGAGGATCACTTGAGGCCAGGAGTCTGAGATCAGCCTGGCCAACATAGCAAGACCTTATCTCTACCAAAAAAAATGTTTCTAATTAGCCTAGGCCAAGGTGAACATCCAAAACGCCATGTACTCCTAGGCTGACTCAAGAGCTGGAGCGGGAGAACTAAAGAGCCCAGCAGTTAAGTTAACCAGTGACCTACATTGACTACCATCCTCCACACTGGGTGAAGAAAAGACCCTGTCTTTAAAAAAAAAATAATACCCATACACATCATATCTCTGAGAAAACAAATAAGGCACAACAAAAAAATTACTTGACCCGGCACGGTGTCAAGCCTTGTAATCCTAGCACTTTTGGGGCCGAGGAGGGCAGCATCACGAGGTAAGGAGTTCGAGACCAGACTGACCAACATGGACCAAAACCCCGCCCTAATAAAAACCAAATATTACTGGTGTGGCAGTGTGCTGATAATCCCACGCTAACTCAGAGGCTAGGGCCGGAATCACTTTGAAGCCAGGAGCGGGAGCTGCAGTGAGCCAAATCACACCACTGCACTCCCTCCTGGGTACAGCAACCAAGACTCCCTAAAAAAAAAAAAACAGAAAATTACCTGTAATTATATTTCCATTTTATTGTGTGTTGTATGTAATTTATTTTTTGAGACAGACTCTTGCTCTGTTGCCCAGGCTCTGGAGTGCAGTGGCCAGATCTCGGCTCACTGCAGGCTCCGCCCCGGGTTCAGGCCATTCTCCTGCCTCAGCCTCCCAAGTAGCTGGACTACAGGCATCCGACACTACGCCCGGCTAATTTTTTGTATTTTTAGCAGAGGCCGGTTTCACCGTGTTAGCCGAGGATGGCTCAATCTCCTGACCTCATGATCCACCCACCTCAGCCCTCCCAAGTGCTGGGATTACAGGTGTGACCACCGCACCCAGCCTGTACAGGACACTTTTTAAAACAAACAGAAGCTGCTAAATACTGTTTAGCAATCCTCATGCTCATATCTTGCAGAAATACCTGGCCAGTTCAAACTCTGCAAAAGCAGAAAATCATAAGGCTTTCAAGTAACGTAATGGACTCTTTTTCTTTTTTTTGAGGACGTTTCGCCTCCTGTTGTCCAGGCTGGAGCACAATGGCATGATCTTGGCTTACTGCATCATCTCTCCCGGGTTCAGGCGATTCTCCTGCCTCAGCCTCCCGAGTAGCTAGGATTACAGGTGCCTGCCACCACACCCAGCTAATTTTGGTATTTCTAGTAGAGACGGGGTCTTGCCATGTTGGCCAGGCTGGTCTTGAACTCCTGACATTGGGTGATCCACCTGCCTCAGCCTCCCAAAGTGCTGGGATTACAGGCATGAGTCACCACACCTGGCCAGGGAGCTCTTATCCATAACTAAACATAGATTAGAAAGAGATTACTTCTGTCCTTTTCCATGTCTGTTACATAAACCCAGTACAGCTTAGTCTGCAGGAACTATTTCTAGTGGGAATTCTTGAGAAAAAACAATTACCATTTGTAGGAACTTTCTTTCTTTCTTTCTTTCTTTCTTTTTTTTTTTTTGGACAGAGTCCCGTTCTGTCATCCAGGCTGGAGTACAGTGTCACAATTTTGGCTCACTGCAGTCTCTGCCTCCCCAGTTCAAGCGATTCTCATGCCTCAGCCTTCTGAGTAGCTGGGACCACAGGTGCACACCACCACACCCGGCTAATTTTTGTATTTTTAGTAGAGATGGGGTTTGACTATGTTGGCCAGGCTGGTCTCGAACTCCTAACCTCAAGTGATCCACCCACCTCAGCCTCCTAAAGTGCTGGGATTACAGGCATGAGCCACTGCACCTGGTCTACAGAGGAACTTTTAAAAAAAAAAAACAAACAAAAACAAGACAACAACAACAACCAAAAAAAAAACAAAAACAAAAACATATATTTAAATTTTAGAATAACTGTGTTAGTTTCCTAGGGGTCCAGTAACACAGTTCCACAAACTGGGTGGTTTAGAACAATAAAAATTTACTCTTTCACAGTTCTGGAGGCCAGAAGTCTGAAATCAAGGTGTCAGCAGGGCCATGATCCCTCTGAAGGAACTGAGGAAGGATCTGTTCCAGGCCTCTCTCCCAGCTTCTGGTAGTCTCGTGTTCCTCAGCTGTTAAATGTCCATCTTCTCCCTGTGTCTCCTCATATCATCTTCTCTCTTTGGTGTCGGTCTCTGTGTCTCAATTTCCCCCTTTGGGGATATCAGTCACATTGGATTAGGGTCCACCCTAATGACTTCATCTTACCTGTATTACCTCCTAAACACACTGTTTCCAAATACAGTCACATTGTGAAGTACTGGGAGTTAGGACTCCAATGTATCTGTTTGTTGGGGGGACACAATTCAATCCATAATAACAACCAAACAAGAAAAACACTTTCCTTTTTTATAGTTGAACAAACTGCAGACCAGTGATGGGTAGTATTGAATGGAAAGGATTGCCCGAGCGCGGTGGCTTATGCTTGTAATCCCAGCACTTTCGGAGGCTGAGGCAGGCGGATCACAAGGTCAGGAGATTGAGACCATCCTGGCTAACACGGTGAAACCCAGTCTCTACTAAAAATACAAAAAAGTAGCTGAGCTTGGTGGCGGGCACTTGTAATCCCAGCCATTTGGGAGGCTGAGGCAGGAGAAGGGCGTGAACCCAGGAGGCGGAGCTCGCAGTGAGCCAAGATGGCACCATTGCACTCCAGCCTGGGCGACAGAGTAAGACTCCACCTCAAATGAATGAATGAATGAATGAATGAATGAATGAATGAATGAATGAATGAATGAATGGAAAGGATTTCAGAAACACCACTGCAGAGATATGCAGTGGCCTTAACTACATTACAGAGACCTGGCAGGACAAGGCAGTCTCTACCAGCATAGGACAGTTACCTAGTGTATTTCAAATACATGTTTGCCTCTGCTCTCCTCACATGAAAAAATACAGAAAACTAGAAGTATGGAGCCAAATTTTCAAACTCCTTCTATGTGCACAAGGAGCACCTCTGGAGTCTTTAGTTCTGCACATCTTGAGCCTAGATGAAGGTATATATGCGGAGAGTCCAACTCAAAAATTCTTCAAAAAATATTGTTTTCCCTAATTCCCACCATCACCTTTCTGGAGCCATAAGGGTTTAGATCTCAAAATAAGCCATAATAAAGACCTTAGGTTCCTTCCAGATACATAAAGGTAGGGGGAAAAAAGGACCTTAGGCTATTTATTTTTATAACCTGGATGAATGAATCACTTGATCCTGACAAATTTCTTAAAGGTGCTAATAAAAGTGCTAGGGTTTTTATCCCCACAATGAATATGTTTCATTCAAAATCAGTAACTCTTGTTTTATTTTTACCCACAATCATTTGTTCTTTCTCTATTTCTCACTGGTGCCACCTTCTGCAAATGCCTCAACCTTTCTGTCCTTTTTTCTTCACTGTATTAGTCTGTTCTCAAGCTGCTATAAAGAACTGCCTGGCCAGGCACAGTAGCTCACGCCTGTAATCCCAGCACTTTAGGAGGCCAAATCACGAGGTCAGGAGTTCGAGATCAGCCTGGCCAACATGGTGAAACCCCGTCTCTACTAAAAATACAAAAATAAGCTGGACATGGTGGCATGCGCCTGTAATCCCAGGTACTCTGGAGGCTGGGACAGGAAAATTGCTTGAATCTGGGAGACAGACGTTGCAGTGAGCCAAGACTATGCCACTGCACTCCAGCCTACGTGGCACAGTGAGACTGTCTCAGAAAAAAAAAAAAAAAAAAGAACTGCTTGCAGCCAGGCGTGGTGGCTCACGCCTGTAATCCCAGCACTTTGGGAGGCCGAAGCGGGCAGATCACGAGGTCAGGAGATCAAGACCATCCTGGCTAACACGGTGAAACCCTGTCTCTACTAAAAATACAAAAATTAGCTGGGCATAGTGGCACATGCCTGTAGTCCCAGCTACTCAGGAGGCTGAGGCAGGAGAATCAGCTGAACCCAGGAGGTGAAGGTTGCAGTGAGCCAAGCCAAGATCACACCATTGCACTCCAGCCTGGGCGAAAAAGCAAGACACCGTCTCAAAAAAAAAAAAGAAAGAACTACCTGAAACTGGGTAATTTATAAAGGAAAGAAGTTTAATTGACTCACAGTTGCACATGGCTTGGGAGGCCTCAGGAAACTTACAATCATGGTGGAAGGGGAAGTAAACACGTCCTTCTTCACATGGCAGCAGGAGAGAGAAATGCAGAGTGAAGAGAGGGAAAACCCTTTATAAAACCATCAGATTTCATGAGAAGTCACTATCACAAGAACAGCATGGGGGGGACTGCCCCCATGATCAAATCACCTCCCACGAGGTCCCTCCCTCAACATGTAGGGATTACAGTTTGGATTACAATTCAAGATGAGATTTGAGTGCGGACACAGAGCCAGACCGTATCATTCACCATCTTTTTATATCCAAGAATCACCAGCTAGGCAATCTAGTTACTCCTTTGTTTGGTTACTCATTTGTTCAGCAAATAGTTATTGATCTATTTGGAAAGCTTGGGGATGTGGAATGAATAAGACACTGTCCCTGTCCTCTAGGGACATAGACTAACAGAATGCTGGATGGAACAACTATAGCAACTACAAAGAAAATTGCCCCAGTGGTGGCTGAAGGCCATGCTCCTCCCCAAGATCAAGCATTTTCCTTCTCCAGGCCTCTTATTCCTTGCTCTTTGGCACAGAAGGAAAACTAGCACTGAAGCCTAAACATAAAGGCTTGAAGAGGAAGGGTGACTGAGGAATGACAAGATGAATGTGGATAACATCCAACATTCCACTCACAGGATCTCACAAGCACAGGCCTCTGATCTTTTTTCTTTTTTTTTTTTTTCCAGTTTGGTTCCCAGTTCCTGGACTATGTGCCAAGGTACTGTGCTTTTCAGAAAGAAGACTTGCCCGGTCTAGATATACCCTAAACTTCTTATTCCATAATCCAACTCCTTCTCAAGGGAGGAGCAGAGGTCAGGTAGAAATACAAAGAAATTAGAGTTTTCCATAGAATTCTCCAAATTTTCAAAATCAAATACATACAATCACGCACATTAGAGCACAGCTTAAAGCAGAGAAGACAGAGTCTCAAGGCGGGAGCAGCTGGTTCACAGTAGGAGTGCTGAGGGCCTACCAGGAATGAGGAGAGCTCTGAGAGGCTTTGGAAAAGAGCAGAAACCTCCCTTCCAACCAGTTCCCACCAGCTCCAAAGAGAATGGAGGGAGAGAAACCATCTTTATGCCACTGGCCTCTGCTGGGCCACATCATTTAAATTTAAAGATTTGAGGTTGGGCCAGAGGTAGGCAGAGAACAAAGAAGGAGGGAAGACAAGGCTTATTTTTCCTCCAACTAACATATTCTCTCAAAGTTTCTGGGACTCTGAGATTTCTACTAAGGATTCTAGGCTTTCTTGGCAATGATTTTCATATACTAGTTTGCTCAGAGACCTGTTATCAGTATATCATGACCAGATGATCACAGCCAGTCACAGCCAGCTTCAGGTCTCCTTAAGAGGGAGTCCCTCCAGAATTGCATGATTTGCCTGTGTCAATCACATCTATTTTAGGTGCCTTAGGGGGTACTATTTAAAGGATGCTTATAGTGAATCCTTTGGTAAAGTGAATAATTACCTCTAGGCTTCAACTAGAAGTGATTGGAAGTGACAGGAGTCACTGGAAGGAGCCTTATGACTTCAGCACTTTACTTATTATTAATGATCATTAGCCACAGTCACTACCATGTTACTCACAAGATTCAAACCCAAGCTGGCCTGGCTCCCAGTCTGTGTTCAGTTCCATCTCATCGTCTCAAGCACACTGAACACCATACACAGGGCTTTCCCCCACGATTTTTCCAGAGAGAATCAAGGTATTGTCCTCCAGAAGATAAGGTGAGTTCAGGCCTGCAATGCAACCAGGCGATGTCTGCCTACCTTTTTTGCCTCTCTTCTCTCCAGCTGTACTGTTCTTTCAGTTCCTTCAAGAGCCAAGCTCCAGGCCCACCCCCACTTCAGCTCAGACTAGGAAGCACCTCATTCTTATCCCCCTCTTCTCAGCCTCAGCCTGAGTAATTCCTAGTCTTTCAATCTTACCTATGAGTCACTTTTTAATGGAAGTGCTCTTACATTTGCCCTCTACCCACCCATTCCGGTTCCCCATTTATGAGCTTATAAATGACTTTTTCTTGGTAGCATCTATCAAGGTTTTCATTTGATACTTGTGTGTCTTTGGTTGATTCAGTGTCTGTGTCTCCCTCTAAATGCTCAGCTCTGAAGTCAGAGTTCATGCTTATTGTGCTCATGATCATGTCCCCTCACCTAATAGCCCTTAGCACATATGTGGCATAGGTACTTCACAATGTATTCTGTACTAAATAAGTATGCTTACCTGAGAAAGGAGATGGTTACAAGGCAAGGTTCCTGGTTTTTGTTTCTTCCTATATTCTTAGTATCTTTGTGATTCCCTGAAAAGTACAAACTTAATTCACCATGGGTCTCTGATGTCTGTCCTTGTCTAATGATTTGAGTTAGGATCCCAACACTATGATAGAGCTGTATGTACGGCAGCCACCCCAGAACTATTTTAGAGGAGAGATTAATATTCTTCCTACCTTTCCTTGAGGATAGGACTGTTGTACTACTGGTGCTTTATAGTCCAAGGAGCTTAGGGTCCAGGTAGGGAGGTCAGAGAAGTAGACAAGTACTCTCAGAAAATGAAGTGGTATCTATATAATAAGATAAGCGCAGGCATGAAGGGGGACAAAGAGGCTCTTATCTGATCCTCATGAGCATCTGGAAGATTTCTGTAGAAAGTCCTAAAAAAGATGTTAGAGGTTGATAAGGGAAAAGAATAGGCATGGGGCAGAGAGCTAAGGTGAAGAGATACTCAAAAAGGTTCAGAGGTGAGAGAGCATGGAGTTTTCAGAGGGGAACTGTGAATAATTTAAGATATATAGGGAAGTGGCAAGAAGTGAGTCTGAAGAAACTGTGTTAAGGGCCAAAGATGTTTGTCTTGAAGTCCAAGAGAGTCAACACAGGGTTTAATTGATGAGTGACCCCATCAGATTTGCCTTTTAGAAACATCTTTCAGATTAGTGTCTAAAGCTCCAGTTACCAGAAACTAGGACTACAACTACTTTCTCTTGGAAGTCAACTTCTCTTGACTACACCACTGCTTTCTCTCTAAGGAGAGTTTTGAAGGAGAGAGACCAGTCCCTAGATCATGCCAATAGAGGTAGGAGGAGGGTGGACAGGTTGGAAGAGATGTATACCATGTGTTGACTATGGGTATATTAATGTTTTTCAGTTTAGCATGTGAGAGCAGTACTATAGAAAGTAGTTAACAGTTTTCTCCAGATTAAGACCACTTACCCACTGATGAGTTTGGGAAATTGTTTAACCTGTTTCCTCATCTGAAAAGTAAGAATATTAATCATTATAAACTCGAGAACTTATATGCCTTATCTCACTTATATGTGGAATCTAAAAAAATTAAACTCATGGAAGCAGAGAATGAAATGGTGGGTTGAGGGGTAGGAGAAATGGGAAGATACTGGACAAAGGGTACAAACTCTCAATTATAGGATGAACAAGTTTCAGGGATCTTAACTACATCATGAGTGATGACGGATGTGTTAATTAATTTGATCATGGTAGTCATAATACAACTATATCAAATAATCACATTGTATACTCTGAATATAATCAATCTCTATATATTATTTTTAAATATTTTTAAAAGGGAATGAAATAAATTTACATTCATATATATGAAAATTTTGATTTAAAATTTATCTAGGCCGGGCACGGTGGCTCAAGCCTGTAATCCCAGCACTTTGGGAGGCCCAGACGGGCGGATCACGAGGTCAGGAGATCAAGACCATGGTGAAACCCCATCTCTACTAAAAAATACAAAAATCTAGCCAGGCGAGGTGGCGGGCGCCTGTAGTCCCAGCTACTCGGGAGGCTGAGGCAGGAGAATGGCGTAAACCCGGGAGGCAGAGCTTGCAGTGAGCTGAGATCCAGCCACTGCACTCCAGCCTGGGCGACAGAGCGAGACTCCGTCTCAAAAAAAAAAATAAAAAAAAATAAAATTTATCTAAAAGAGGTACAAATATGAATCAATAGATTATTAAATTTCAGTAGAATTAAATGCCTTGTCAACAGTTTTCTGTGGAAATGCTGTGTATAGCTGGTTTTTACAGTTCCACTCATTCCTCCAGTTTACTGTTTGACCTTAATTTACTCCTCCTTCTTCTCAGGGTTGCTTGCCTGGCTGGCTCAGTCCTACCAGACAGAAGCCACTGTGGAAAGCTTCAGTTCCCCTAGGCGCCCATACTAAGGTCGTGTTACCATGAACAAAAGAGATAAGCTAATATTTGGAGCTATTTGGGGAGCATTTTAAAATTTTAAATACTTAATCTTTTACCAAGAATATAAAAACAATATCCATAATTTACAGACACCATTTGAATTTTACCAAAGCTACCTTCAAGTTCTCCTGAATAAAAGAAACATTTAAACCAAATGGATATTCTCACCAGCTTTATAAATTTTTTGGAAAACTCTAAATAATGAAAACAATCACACCTAAATTGCAGAAGAGCTCAGTACAACTGGCCCTGTCTCAACATACTCCTTGAACTGAATTAAAGGACTCGCTCACTAGCTTCTATTGTGTTACCTGAAATTGGTGCTTAGCAGAATTTTTCCTGGGTTTAAATACAAAATGGTACACACATAATTGCAACCATGCAAATGTATGTCTATATGTGATCTGAAAGGCAACAAGCAAAAATGAAAATAGTGGTTTAAAATATTTAATAAAAATATTTTCAGTAACAGTTTTTAAACAGAAGGTACTCTAGTTGAGCACTTAAAAAAAAAAGAAACAAGCCGGGTGTGGTGGCTCACACCTGTAATCCCAGCACTTTGGGAAGCCGAGGTGGGCGGATCACAAGGTCAGGAGATCGAGACCACAGTGAAACCCCATCTCTACTAAAAATACGAAAAATTAGCCAGGCGTAGTGGCGGGCACCTGTAGTCCCAGCTACTTGGGAGGCTGAGGCAGGAGAATGGCATGAACCCGGGAGGCAGAGGTTGCAGTGAGCTGAGATAGCGCCACTGCACTCCAGCCTGGACGACAGAGTGAGACTCTGTCTAAAAAAAAAAAAAAAAGAAACAAAAAACACTCAAAACTTCCTGAAAGGCTGAGTGACTACTTAAATGAAAAGCTCTCCTTTATCTTTATGGACATTGCTTATCAGGCCCTTCAAACCCTTCCAACTACTGAGAAGTATGCTGTATGATAGTATCTGCCCTCCTGTCAGAGAAATCATAAGGGAAAAATGGTAAGATGGTTTTCTACTCAGGGCAGGTTAGGTAAAATCCTGTATCTTTTCAAAATGTTAACCAGATCTAGGTGAAATCCTGAGGTTTTGGCTCCTAAAAAACGGTTTGAAACTTGGGAGCAATAGAGATGTCCTGGAGAAATCATCCTGGACACTCAGGACTTTTTGGCAATAATGGACAGCAAAATTTGTTTTGCACAAAGTCACTATTCAGATTTAATTCAGTAGACGTGAAAAATTGTAAAACATAAATTTTACATTTAAAAGAAGATACATAGTGACCAGGCATGGTGGCTCATGCCTGTAATCCCAGCACTTTGGGAAGCCAAGGCAGGCGGATCACTTGAGGTCAGGAGTTTGGGGCCAGCCTGGCCAACATGGTGAAACTCGATCTCTACTAAAAATACAAAAAATTAGCCAGGGGTGGTGGCACTCACCTGTTATCCCAACTACTCGGGAGGTTGAGGCAGGAGAATCGCTTGAACCTGAGAGGCGAAGGCTGCAGTGAACCAAGATGACGTTACTGCATTCCAACCTGGGTGACAGTGAAACTCCGTCTCAAAGAAAAATAAATTTTATATATATATAATAATTTTTTTAAAATAAATAAACAAAAGGAGATACATATAAACCAAATCTAACAAAGGCTCTAAAGAAGAGCAAAACAATACTTTGTTCCAAATGGGAAATAGCAGAAAGAACCCAATGAAGTAAAATAAGGAAGCCAGCAGTGATCATATGGTTCTTAAGGGTAGGAAATACTAGGACTGGGTTAAAAGTATAACAGAATTTGAGATTTCAAATTTGAAATTTCAAAAAGAAATTTACAGGTCTAATCCAAATCCTTCCATGTATAGATGAGGAAACTTAAGGTCCATTTATTATTCATCCAACAAACGTTTATTGGTGTGCCTATATGCTAGATGCTAGAGATAGAACAAAGACCAAGACAAGACATGGTCCAGGAAAGTGACTTGCTCAAAGTCACAAAGCAAGTTAGCAGCTAACCAGCGGCTCTGCACTAAACCCCATATTGTCTAATAATATACAGTCATTTCTGTGCCTGTAAGCACCTTAAGCATTTGATGATGGTTCTATGAATATAAAAGATTTTCATACACAACTGATACAACATTTCATTGGGGTATATATTATATTCAGAGGTAATATGATAAGGGGTATATATAATGTATAAGGGATATATATTATATTCAGATGCTGTTAGAATCCACGTAAAATAACCACAGTTTCTTATGTAGCATATGAAATGGTAATTTCCTTCAAAGTGCTTCCTAATTTCTTAGTCATTAGGTGTTCCATGTGCAAATATTGACAATCTAAATTATCAAATTTTTATTTATTTTTTAAGTTTGAGGGTACATGTGAAGGTTTGTTACACAGATAAACACATGTCACAGGGTCAATTATGACATTTTAAAACATGATTTCTGGTCATATGACTCTTACTATGTCTCTTTTGAATTACAAAGGAGAATGTCTTTTTTTAAACTTAATGTTAAAGTGAAAATTGGAACACTAATTTTTTTTTTTTTTTTTTTTTTTTTGAGACAGAGTCTCGCTCTGCCATTAGGTTGGATTTCAGTGGCGCGACCTTGGCTCACTGCAACCTCCACCTCCCGGGTTCAAGCAATTCTCCTGCCTCCACCTCCCAAGTAGCTGGGACTACAGGCACGTGCCACCACGCCCAGCTAATTTTTTTATTTTTAGTAGAGACGGGGTTTCACCACGTTGGCCAGGATGGTCTTGATCTCTTGACCTTGTGATCTCCCTGCCTGGGCCTCCCAAAGTACTGGGATTACAGGCGTGAGCCACCGCACCCAGCCTAAAACACTAATTTTAAGTGAAAATTAGAATACTAGTTGAATGAATGACATTTAGCTAGTGTTCTAACACTTTATTTTCAATAAATGATTCGATTTTAAAAGACCTATTTCTATCATTGACCTGTTTACCCGTATAATCATTCAGAGCTTAACCAGTTTGGTAACAGTGTATATAATATAAATAGACACTTAATGTTCTGCATCAGAACTTTTTTTTTTTTGGAGACAGTCTCAGTCTTGTCACCCAGGCTGGAGTGCAGTGGCGTGACGACGGCTCACTGCAACCTCCACCCCCCCTAGGTTCAAGCAATTCTCCTGCGTCAGCCTCCCCAGCAGCTGGGATTACAGGCGCCTGCCACCAAGCCCAGCTAATTTTTTGTATTTTCAGTAGAGATAGGGTTTTACCATGTTAGTAAGGCTGGTCTCAAACTCCTGACCTCAGGTGATCCACCCGCCTCGGCCTCCCAAAGTACTGGGATTACTTACAGACGTGAGCCACCATGCCCAACCCAGAACTTATTTCTTTAAAAGAAAACACGTACCTCATTTTTAAATGAACAATAGCACCTAATACAAAAGAGAAAATTGAGTTTGGAACCTACTCTGGTTTTTTTCACTGATTTAATAACAATACAGGAGTTCTTTAGTATGGGAGAGAATAGGAGCCCTTGACTAGAAGCAATACTGTGGCCTGAGAGTTAATTAAAATAACCCAAAAGGAAAAGGTGTGAAAATGTAACTTATTGAAATAAAAAACTTTTGAGATACTCCTGATTGGAAAGTAGTTATTTGGCCGGGCGCAGTGGCTCACGGCTGTAATCCCAGCACTTTGGGAAGACAAGGCAGGCGGATCACCTGAGGTCAGGAGTCCGAGACTAGCTTGGCCAACGTGGTGAAACCCTGTCTCTATTAAACATACATTAGCTGGGCGTGGTGGCACACGCCTGTAATCCCAGCTACTTGGGAGGCTGAGGCAGGAAAATCGCTTGAACCTGGAAGGCGAAGGTTGCAGTGAGCCAAGATCGTGCCCTTGCACTCCAGCCTGGGCGACAAGAGTGAAACTCTGTCTCAAAAAAAAAAAAAAAAAGAAAGTAGTAATTTCTCTTCTAACACCTCTGAGAAGCTATGATCAGAAAGATGAGGGGTTTGAAAAGCTACCTGTGTTATATATCTCTATTACAATTTGGAGCTCTAAGGTGGATTCCCCATCCTTAGGCTCTAGAAGGCTCTCCTACTGTTGTACTTCTTTCCCCTGGCCATTCATTCTCTGTTATTATTTGTCCTCCCTCCCTACATAATAAGTTCTATCAAGGAGCACTTGGATATTATCCATATCTGTACTCCACCTTGCATCACAGCACATAGCTGGTACTCAATAATTGTAAAACGAATACCATAGATGGCAACCAGAATAAAAAAGTTGGTAAGATCTATTGTGATTCATATGTCCACACTCTGAAACTAACTGTAATAATAAGAAATTGAAACTACATCAGCAACATATGGTTCCACCTCAGATGATCAGGGAGAACTGAAAATTTTGAAAGCTGTGGCCACATAAAAAACCATGTGCATGCTGTCTAAAAATAACAACCACTCCCTTTCAAAGAGGAAAGGTCAATTTCAAGCCTCAGATAATTGAAGAAAATTGTCAGAAAAAAAGAAACATTAAGTGAAAAAAAAAAGAAAGATGATTTGATCTCTGGATTAAGATGTTTTAATATACATAATGTATAGTAGTTCATATAATTTATTAATGGCATTTTCTATAGGACACTGTAATTAATTCAGTGACATCAATATTGACCTCATACAGACAAAAGATGAAAGCTGGGTTTTCTCGTGTACCAAGTACAAAACATGTGCTAAAAAGTTAACATATACAGTTGTAAGAGATCAACGTTCGCGATGACTCAAGTTTACAGTAGTTGTTTCACACGGTTTGCCAAGACTTGGATGCCACCCAGTGTTGCTGTGTTTGTGCAAATGCCAGCTCTGGACGGCCTGACTACCTCCTTTTGCCAGCCCCACTTTTGCCTGTTTTACTGCTGCCGCTGCTAGATTTGCCAGATGATTTTGAAGAGAAGAGTCTTGTCATGAACTCAGAAACATCAGGCAACTCATGGTTGGAATTCAGCATATTCATTGACTGCTCCATTTCCTGCAAGAAGACAAGGCACAATGATATGTAGGATCCTTCGAGTCTTTTAACTCCTAACACTTCCTATTAAAGAAAAAGTAAAGGAGTAGAACAAGTGAAAGGTACTGGTTCTGGGAATGATGCAACATCATACTCAATAGTACTTCACCTATGTATCATTAGTAACTATTTTCCATACCTCCTTTATACCACTAAACATTCTGACTCCTAGTAAATGTCCAATAAATGATTGCCTAAGGTTTGATTCTACTTGTCTTAATAAAGAACATTTTTTTCTGATAATGAATGTATTTGATTATATTCCTATCTTATGTTTTCTGATTAAAGTGCTTTCTTATTGTTTTAATGAGTACATTTTTAAGTTCACGCTTTCTTTAGATGCATATAACCAGAATATTAATTTTTAACTATATATCGAGGTATCAGTAAAGTTTGGAAAATAAGTTCTGTATTTCTACGAGTTCATTTATAAGCCTCATAAATCTATGAATGCTGTATGGCTCGGGTGACTTCGATTAGACTCTAAAGCAAGCATCACACTGTTACAAACAAGTCATTGGCAAAACAGGATAGGACTTGGCACTTTTGAGTATTTGTCGTCCCCCTTAATTGAACCAAAAATCTATAAAGTACTGTTTGATAGTTATATAATATTAATGTAACATCTGCTTCATTTAAATTTTAAGTGACATTCTAAAAGTGAACTTAAAATTGACTTTAGTCCATTCATACATGAAAAAGATAGCAAGTACTGCATTATCTACCATTTCTTTTCTTTTTTTTTTTTTTTTTAAGAGAGTGTGCTCCGGTGATCCTCCTGCCTCAGCTTCCTGGGCAGCTGGGACTATAGGCACACAACATAACACTAGGATTTCATTTCAAATTGAACACTGTTAGGATATTAGCTTGAGCTTTTCCCACAAAGGTAGAATTTAGGTAGAATTTATTCCTAAGTTTTAAAGGAGAAGGTGCTTTTACAAATAAGGCTAGGAAAAGAAACATTGTAAACATAAATCAAATATGTTAACATGCCCCAATAATTAAGAAATAAATGTATATGGTAACAGCTCTTGAGTCCCTGCAAACATATCAACTCTATTTTTCAATCTGTTCAATTCTTAAGCTCTATTTTTTTTTTTTTTCAGTTTTTGTGGTTTTATTTAAACACAAATAAAACATGCACATGAGCCACTGATTCCTTCTCCTCTCTGTGCAGCCTGGCACTGGGACTAGTGACTCTGATGGCCAGCTGGGCTCCTCTTTCCAGATGGCTTTGTGGTTCTTGGAGGAAACACCCTGAGTAATCTCAGCACGGTAAGATTTGTTGCAGATCAGCAGTACTTCCAGTTCCTTTATGTTGTAGATCAGGAACTTCCAGAAGCCACTGGGTAGTAAGTACTTTGTTTCTTTGCTGCTCCCATAACCAATGCTGGGCATCAAGATCTGGCCCTTGAATCTTCTACGAACACTGTT